ACACACACACACACACACACACACACACACACACACACACACACACACACACACACACACACACACACACACACAGTCTCATGTTCGGCCCTGATAGAAAATGTGCTTTCGATGCAGAGAGGAGCTTCAGTATTTTTGGCTCGAGTTTGAAAGTGGAGTCGTTTCTGTGTAAGAAGCAGCAGCGACTTTGATTCAGACGTCGACTGACATCAGAGAATAAAAGAAAAACGCAGGATGGAGGAGGAGCTGAAACCCTGAAGAGTTTTCTAACGGAGCGGAACTCGTGAACGGTTCTGGATCTGGACGTTCATTTCTACCTTCATTTTCTCAATCAACATTTCAGGAGAGTTTTAAAGGTGAAACCAGGCGGAGCAGCTATGAGATGAATTGTGACCATAGAACAAAATAATATTTGAATAGGTGAGAAAAGACAAAGCTGCAGGACTGTGTACATATTTTTTTAAGAGTGAGGGAACTACACTTCCCATAAATCACGGTTGTTCTGTGGTAAACATCATGTGACGGTGAACCATCACACACAGATGATATCAAACTGACTCGAGTCTCCTCTGATGCACAGTCTCGTAGCTTGTTGTGAGTCTCCCTCGGTTGGTTAAAATATTACGGCTGATAACCTGGACATAGTTAATGAGTAGATTTTCATTTCGGGAACCACGCTGCATGGCTCCATATTCACACAGTGGCCATTCTCCTCTGGAACATCAACACGCAGCATAAAATAATATTTGAGTTCAGTGTCAAAAGAAACAGTGAAAAATAAGTTAAAACACATTTATTTGTTTTTGGAAGAAGAAGAAGAACGACTCCAAACAAAGACAAACAGAGGAGAAGTGTTTTTTCTACTTTTTAAATAATCAGTCTTCAATATTAATTAGCATCAGAAAGCACAGAACTGTAACTAGAAGCCAGTTTGGTTCCGAGTCGTCCAAAGAAAACAACAAAACATGTTGTTTGTGTTGTTCGTGATTTCCCTCCAGATGTTTTCTGATCCTGTGCCCGTGCTGGCAGAAAAACGTTGTTTATCGGAGCGTTACAAAAATGAAAAACTGAGGTATAGAATTTCCAGTGATTGTTTTCTGACCTGCCAAAGCTGCGGGTGACGTTGGGGCATGTTTGTGTAGAAAATCATTTGGTTGAAGTTTTGAGGTTTGGGTCAAAAGTATTTGGTTAGTTTTTGGTAAAGCTCCTGATGAAGGTCGAGAGACGTAAACGTTGAGTTTGGGAGGAAGTGGGAGAAACAGCGCCCTCCAGTGTCACATACACAACCCGACTTAGATTAGTTTTCCTGATGAAGTCTCAAAAGCAACAGGAACTCCACGAGATGGATCCGTCCAGGCCCGATGTATCCCATGATACATTGCACCTTTTTCAAAGAGGTAAACATTTGGAAGAATTTATTTTTAAATGTAAATACTCAACCGAAAACCTAACGGTACAAAGTTGATCCAAAAAAACCATAAATATAAATTTCTGCGTTTTTTAAAATTAGGAACTTTCTTGTCTCTGTTTCTAGGGGACGGCTGTAAAGGCGGGACAAGCCGGAGACCAGACCAACATGTGGCAGCTCGGGATGTAGCGTGTGCGTTCCGCTAACGTAACCACCTGCTAACGAAGTAAGACAAGCGTCAAGGCTGTTTTTAATTTTGTTTCTGAGGGAGCTAATTTTAATCACTTAGAGATGTTAGCCTCCTGCTGCGTAGCCGTCGGTTAGCATCTCTGCTAGTCTTGTGCTAATGTCGCTGCAAGGTATGAATGTAAAATCAAGTAGTGACTTGAAGTAACTAAAGTAGCCAGACTGATTTTTAAGTGTGATATCATTTAATTGTTTAAATAATCAGCTGCTCTGAGTTTAAGCTCGATTGTTTAGCCTCGGTTTTGTGAATTGACGACGTCCATACGATGTTTCCGAACTTGATCGATGTCTGTCCACGTGAGCGTTTTGGGTTTGAATCCCTGTCTGTGCCTGAAAATGCACATGACACGACCGCTCACGTACACTGGACAGGATTGGTTGAATAATACCTTGTCTCCTCCACGTTAACGCATTTTGAATCTTGTTTTATTCTGTTCATTTTCCTCTTTGTCATATTCGACAACTTGTGAGAAGTGAGAGTGATTTAGAGAAATAAAACCTTCCCTTGGATCTACTTCTGTATTTACCACTAGAGAGAAACGTAAGAGAAGGAGTAACGTGTGTTTCGTTATCGAAGTGTGAACTTGATCCATACAGACGATGTATTTTCTGTGTCATCAGACCGGCTGGTTGCAGCTCCACAGTTGAGCGCTGGTGTTTTTACTGTTTTGCTCAAGGGCACGTCACTTGCATTTTTTTGTGAGGGTGTGTGTTTGTGTGTGTGTGTGTGGCAACGCTGGAATTCCCACTTTCCAACCACAAACCAATGCACAGCGACGTCCTGATTTCGAGCCAGCCGCCTCTGGTGCAGCTCTGAGAACTCAACTCCACGCTGGAGGTCGTTTGCCGGTTGCTTCTCACACGTTGCTTTGAATAACATTTCGTTGTCTATCAGTCGGAGACGGAGGAGCAGGAGGTCCGGCTCTGTTTACGCCACAGCTCCTCTTCTCTGCCCCTTCAGTCACAGGAAGGCTGCAGCGTCAGGCCCAGCCGTCATCTGCCCTTCATTAGGGACGAGCGCCCCGTCCTCTCAAATCAGACTTTTTAAATCCCCTCGTCTCCTCTCGTCCTCAAATCAAACTCTCCTCTCCTTTTCCATGGCCGTCTCTCTCCTCTCCAGCCATCCCTTTATTATCATGATCCGTCCTTCATTAGCGGTGCTGTCACCGTGCCTTTGACTTTGGACGCTGTGCTGCTGATTGGGAATTAAGACAGGCTGTCCTGAAACGCCTGCGCACGTCGTCTGTGCGCATTTACATTTGTTACACATTACATTAAGTGTTAGCGGATCTGCGCGGACGAGCATGTGCCGCTCGTATGTTCTTCCGAGTATAGATGTATGCATGCTCATACTTGTGGACGCAACTAACTGAAGGAGTTCGTGTGGTCTGTGTTTGTCTCTGTTGGTTTATTCATGTGTGAAGTTTTGCAAACTCGCTGGTACAAACAAGAACAAAGTGTTTGGCAGAAAGTCTCAGACATTTGGACAAAGTTAAAGGTTATTTCATTCCTTGTTGAGCAGACGCAGTGAGAACAACAGATCAAACTGTGGCACTGACTCTGAAAGTCCATCCCTCACGAAACATCTGCACCCGGACACCTGAGAGTCGACTTTTCCACCGTAAATCAAATCACAAACAATCGATCGATGTTTGTTATCAGTTGAGGAAAATCTCAGAGATCGAGTTCTTTTCTGTTTTGAGAAAATCGTCCGAAAATCTGTTTTAACAAGATCCTATCGTGATTCTATTGCTTCTGCACAGACTCGCACTTCAAACGACGTCGCCTGATGCAAGATGGCGGCGCTCAGTGCAAAATATTACGGCCTCGTCGTCCATTTAAATCCATCTTAAATCTTTATCACTCAGATGTAGTGTTGCTGCTGTGTGAGAGTGAACATCCCTCGGACCTCGGACATCTTAACTGAATCAAGTGCTGCGCTGGAGAA